GTGCTTTGTAAATGATCAAGGCTGGATGATTCTTGTCCATTTTCCTCATCTGGAACAACAGGAAGGAACACTGAGGAGGAAAGAGTCTTTTTCTACATCTAAGGTAGCATCAAAGGAGTGTTCTGGGGGCTATGAGTGTTGGACGAACTTTATCAGATGCTTAAGAAAAGGAAAGAAGACCTCCCACCTTTACCACATGCATATTGGTCATTGTCCACCTGGAGGGTGCTTTGGGGATGCTCTGGGTGGCAATTTAGGATTTACCAGTATTTATTTATGTAAAAATATCTGAATACCCAAAGGATATAAAAAGTTACAGTCAGTTTAATGGTCATCAGTTGGAGTTTTATTTGGCCTCTTTTGCTGGCTGGCCACTTTGGCTTTATGCGTCCTGTACAAATGAATTGCCTTTTAATTATAGCTGTGTTTCCTTCTGTTCCTCTCTGCTAGGACTTTCTAATATGTGAGACAAGTGATTTTGATTTGACTCATACCCTATGGAAATAAGATTTTTTTTGTAGATTCATTTTATGGTGAAAGTGAAGCAGTGGTCTTCACCTTAGCTGATATTGGAATCACCTGGAAGCTTTGAAAGAAGTATCCATGCCTGGGCCCCTCCTAGAGAGTTTGGTTCATAAGGGGATTGGTCTGGGCATTGGGATTTTTGACAGTGCTCCCTGCCCCTTAATAGGTGATTTTAATGTACGGCTGAAGTTCAGAACTGTTGCTGAAAAGTAATATTTAACAGCATGCTAGAATTTAAGTGCTTAGTTGAATGTCACTGCCTTTCCAGTGGTCACCTTAGGAGACCTGCACTTACTGTACTGCCTTTGCTTAGGACTTTTGGGGAAATTCTGCCTTTGGTATTAGCCTATAACCCAGTATGAGATCCCTACACAGACTCAGTCTCAAGTGACTTTATTAAGGAAGCCTGTCTATTGCATAAAGGATTTGGGGCACCTGTTACTTGACAAACGCAGCTCTCTTTTTTTTACTCCGCATTTTGTTACCCTCCTTATTTGCCAGACTTGACCTTGAATGACTTTTGGCTTTTTGGGGGTGAGGGGACTGTCTCATTCATTCACCAGGTCTTTACTGAGTGGCTGATATGTGCTAGTTGCTTGGCATGCCAGAGACAACAAGTATATGGTTTGTATTCCTCTGGCGGTGGGGGAGCGGGGGGGGGGGGGG